AATGAAACTAGGAAAAAACACAGGTTTTTCTTAGCTAGAGAGATTCAATGCAACCTTAGTGGTGGCAAAATAAAAGCATAGAGAGAGGATGCTTTTGTATGTTAGACAGTTTGCCAGTTACTATACAGTGTGATTGAGGTAAAAAAAGCTTGGCAGAGTTCAGGAATGAATTGGATGCTTCAACTGTGTGTTATAGTAGCTGTTTAAAAAGAAATTAGCATTACTAGCTACTGTAGGTAATGAGATACTGGACTGGACTAGACTGCTGTCCTGATCTAGTGTAGAACTTTCCATATTTCACTAGATGACCCCAGTTCTCATCTGTTCTGCCTCTCAGCTTTCCCAAGCAAGTGTATGCAACTGATGAGGCCTGTATGTTTCATTGAAGCTTTTCAGAACTGAGTGGGAATAAAACTGCAGAATTGATTTGTCATTTCTTAGTTTCTTCACAAGGCCTTGCTGTGGCCTTGGAGCAGGCTGTAGACTTAAGAAAATAGTACTAGTACATTATTTTGGACAGCTTTTGCAACTGTAGAAATACATGGGTCCCTACCTCATATTAGGATGAATGTATTTTCCAACCCTAAAATTGGTCTCTAGCAAGGGTGTCCAGCTTATCTGGTCCTGTGAGCTGGATAAGTGATGCGCAGTGCTAGTTCATGAGCCAGATCAGGCCAGTGGGCCCATGTGCCCAGTGCTGGTTCTGGACTGGCTAGGGCAGGTGCAGTGTGCAATGCACATATGAGAGCACTTGGGGCCAGTGTTGTGTATGGCACAGCCCCTGAAGCAGCCAAAATGGGCTCTGTGTGGTGTGTGTCCTGGGCTGGGTCCGCTCAGACCTAGAGGCAGCAGCTGGGACTAGATCAGGGGCAGGCAATTATTTCGGACAGAGCGCCACTTACTGAGATTTGACAAGCCATCAAGGGCCTCGTGACGGGCAGCCAGGGGCAGATAAATATTCATTTTCTAAATTTTTTAGGGGCTCCACAGGCCAGATAGAATGGCCTAGCGGGCCGCATTTTGCCCACCCCTGGACTAGATAATGAGGTGCTGGTTCATGGGCTGTATGTTTGACACCCTTGGTCTACAGGTAAGACTATAACTATTTTTATTACAATATTATTGCATCCCTCTAAGAAAAATCTGTGTTCCTCCTGAAATTGGTGTGTCACGTTTTTTTCCAGAGAAATATTTGTTTGAGGTAAACCAAAAAAGCAATGCTAGATGATTAATGAAAACACCTAGAACCAAAGGAATTTAAATTCTAAATTGTGTATGCTGTAGAGGTGCATACATTGGTCCAAATTGTATTGGCACCGATAAAAGGAAAATTGACATTATCAGCAATTGGGGTTTTTTTGGCTGATGCGGTTGATCATGTTGCCAGTAAACGTCGCATGCAGGAGTGCAGCCTGGCAGCTTGGAGAGTGGCATCTGCCTGGTAAGTCTGTGGAGGGGAAGGAGCGTGGAGTAGGGAAGAAGGGAATAGGGGCCGAGATTAAAGCCCCTGCGGTGAGGGAGGGGGAGTGGGGTTGGGGCAGGGACAGGCGCTACACAGCTGGGGCAGGGCGGGACATGAGACAGAGTTGCAGCTTGTCCAGGAGGGTGCCTTCCACCGCAGTGCACACCCCTGGAGGAGGCATGGGGGGGCACCTGCCTCTTCCTGGATACTAAAAATCATGGACTAAATATAGACATTGGATTTATGACACATTATAACCTGCCTGACATCTGACTCCCCAGGTACTTCTCCACTATTCATCCCACTTCCCCCCCCCCCCCCGCCTGTCTCACCCATTGACTCCTCAATCTACATTTTCACTGACTACCTGTCTTGTATGCATACCAGCCCAGCCGATGGCTGCTTTACTTTTCATTCCATCCAGGAAGAGCACGCACCAACTGCTGAAACTTCCTTAGTCTGATGAAGGGTTTTTGTACCCGAAAGCTTGCTTAATAATTATTTTCCAACTATTTGGGTTGGTCTAATAAAAGAGATCAGATTCACCCAAGGAACTTTGTCTGCCCCTAATATGCTGGCATTTTAATCTTGAAAATATAAGCCAGTTGGTGATGTGGAAAATTTGTCAGTAAATTCCTCCCTCCTCCCTGCCCTCCTCCCCCTCCCCACTTTTCAAAATTGCAGGGACTTGATGGTACTTCTTTCACCCATTCTAAAAAAAACAATAATGAAAAAGAAAACTTGCCAGAGTTTTCGTTTCAAATTCACATTCTTGGCCAACTTTTTTTCCTGATCTTTCCTGTCCTACAGGGGGCAGATATTGGTAGAACTCTTCCCCTTTTCTGTTCTTTGATTTAGTATCTGACGTTTGCCAGTAGTGTTTGAGTTACTGCAGTTTTCTCCCCACTCTTTACTGAAGTAGGTGAAGCTAGTCTTTCAGTAATTTTCCAATCCCTTTCAGGGATGTCATTCATATTTAGAGTTTTTCTCTCCCTAATTTATCTAGGAGTTGTAGAAGGAGAAGGAATAGTTTGAGTGGTAGTACAATAGGGTGAGGGTGATAATGCACGATGAACAGTTCTTATATTTGCATATAATATAATTTTTCTTTTCCCTTTTGGAAAGACTTTGTACATGCAGAAATAAATGTAGTCAGGGGCTGCTTCTATATGAGATGCTGACTGTGCAGTTGTTATTGCACCGTGATTTAGTACTTGTATAATTGTGTACACAAGTGCTAAATGGCTGCGTAGTAACGTCGCCAAACGGCTTTTAGATGACACTGACTGTGCAGTAGCTTGTTACTCGTGCGCAGTAGCATTGTGTCATGCTTTGTGCCACGCAGCACTGCTGTGCAGTAGTAATGAGCTGCTGTGCAGTCAGTTTCTTGTGTAGACACGGCCAGGCACTAAGAAAGTAGGTAATTTTTATACTTGTATATGTCCAAGCAATCTTAATTGTCTCCTCTTGTGCATATAAATTGTGATTAGTCTTTCATTACTTGGTTGTCCAGCTTTGATCAATTCATGGGATGGCTACAGAAAGGGGTGGTCACAGTTATTCAAGCAGCTGTAAATTTGGCATTTACAAATGTTCATATGAACAATTTATATCAGTTTCTTCATATCATCCATTATTTTGTTATGCTTTATCATTAGGGTGACCATATGTCCCAGTTTTAGCTGGGACAGTCCTGGATTTTGGAGGCAGGTCCTGGCTAGCTGGTGAGAATGAAAATGAGCATCCCAGAAATGCAGGGGCACGAGGCGCAGTTAAACAGAGGCGGAGCGGCACCGTGCACCAGGCTTGCACTGCTGCTGCCTGCCTGCTTGGTGCGCCAAGCCCCCTGGCTTCTGTCTGCAGCAGTGCTGCTGACTTGGAGAGGGGTTAGGGATGCAGAATGTCCCAGATTTCCCATTCTCCCATATGGTCACCCTATTTGTCATGCCTCATGTTATCAGCTTTTTCTATAAAGTATAAAGTACCACTCTTCAGAAGGAAATTCTAATTATTATTATTTTCTGGTAGTTAGTGGTAGTGACAAGAGTTATCACTAACTATTGGCAAGTTAGTGGTCTCATTCCATTTCTTTATGAGCTGTTGTTCATAGAAAAATATTTGTTCTACATTTGACACATTCTTTTTTCTTTTTTGTTCTTTTTTTGTTCTTTTCCATTATTTTAATTTTTGCAGGATTGGGGAGGGCAAATTTATCTTTGATTTAGATAGCTGGCAGTTTTGTTATCGGGTCTGCTCATGTGGAGGGAAACACAGGCGTTGAGGGAAATATCAACTGCTAGGGCTTGTTTGCATTGTTCCTAATCTTCATCAAGTATAAGTATTAATGCGGAAAATCTTTGCTTATTCCAACCCGTAGATTAGAATAGTACATTTTTTGAAAATCCTTGTCTCAAGTCAGTTTGCACCTGTAGTTGATTGATTATCAGAATTTGGCTAATGGCGCAAAGCAGAGAATAAATTGGAATTTCCACTTTAAGTTAACTATGGAAATCGCATGTCAGTTTGACTTCAGCATCCTGGTTCTGTTCACCTTGTGCTGAATAACACTTTTTTGTTGTGTGTGCTTTAGGGTGCTAAAATACTGCTTTTAGGTTAAGCAAACACTGTGTACTAACATTGTTGACCTTGTGGGGGTGGAGGGAAAGGCTTGTTTTGCAGTTTTAACTGATAAACTTTATGCGGGGATAGTTCATTTGAGAGCAGCCTTTTCTGTAAATATATTGAATGATAGCCTTGTTTGCTTTGACAGCTGGTTCAAAATCATTGTTAAATATTGAGCCAGTCCACTTGATTTAAGTGGCAAATGGGAAAGATACAATGGCAAATATCACGTAAAAACTATTTCAATGCATATAGTGACTTCTTATGTAAATCTTATGAAGAGCAGGGGGTACAAATCTTAGTGATAGGTGTTTGAACATTTAGGTCATTTTCTGCACTGTTACAAGTGAGTTTCTTTGTGGGATAAATACAGACTACTGGGATTTAATTAGAAGAATTACAGAAAAGCAAATGCAAGGGTTTCAACTCTATAAAATCTTTAAAATTCTTTGTAATGCATTACTAATATTGATAGCAAATATTCAAATATTAATCTTCAACAATTTTAGAAATCTGTTGAAACTTCCATGGCAACAAAGTTATAGGGTTAGTGTAGAATTCTCAATGTTTATGGGAAAGTTTACCCAAACACTGTGAAAAGGGGAAAAAAACAAGACTTCAGAATATTTGGAGTGTGGAAGTCAAACAGGAAAAAAAAGGGGAGTGGGGAAACGTAGTATTGAACTGCAGATCTACGTAAGTAATTCTGACACAATATACAGTATTTTAAAACTTACGAATACTGTTTAAAAGGATAAACGGAACTTAAAGAAGCAGTGCTGCATGGAAAGCTCTTAAAAATGTTCCTAGTGTAGTGTCTTGGTTGACTTGCCAGCCTGGCCATACATGGATCGTTTAAAAAGTTATTTTTGTTCTGAAGTGAAAAACAGTGAATTCTCTGTTGCGTTACAAAGCCCCATACAAACCCCCCTGCGCGAGTCTAGATTGTAAAATTGTAAGTCCAGATTTTTACCATTGGTTATAAGAGAGCGAATAGAACGTGATCTTAAGCTTCTTAAGGGAAGAATTAAATATAATATTTAGATTTTGATTCATGACATTTTAATGGCAGTGCTGAACAGAGGCCACTGAATTAGTTTCTACATACTGAAGTTCTTTATGTGCATTTGTAAAATTTCACTGGTCTACGTGGCTTACGTGACTTCTTGCACTGGCTAGTGTTGCAGTTTTAGGACTGGACCATGAGAGTCATCTTTCCATGTAACCTGAAGAGTTTCTGGCGGCCTTGTGAAAGGGAGCTTTCAGGATTAGTCTGGCACTTTTAATCTGTAGAATATCAAAATACAAATTGGAGCAGAATGTTAAAAGCTGAAGCTAGGCCTGAAGATTTACAACATCCTAGTAGGTTGTTGAGGTGACATTGTGAAGCCTCAAAAAACTGTTTCGGTATTGAACCTTCATAGGACTTGGAGGGGGGAAAGCTTAATTTTGATACCTGTTTCCTGCATTAGAGCTAATTCTGAAGACACACACTGGAGGAAAAACACCTCTTTAGACTGGAAAGG